CACGACATTGATTATCAAACCTAGTATAGCTGCTGGGAGCTCTGCTATAAAAAATTCAAGCAAAGACACCCTAGCTGTTGAAGCTATGAAAGCATTCTGTGGATTGCCAAATATTGTAGCAGCACTCCCAATGTTGGCTGATGTTGCTATACCAAGACACAATGGTAGCAGCTCCCAACGGTCACGTTTTTGCTTGATGAATTCCGTAAGAATGAGAGGTGTAACAACAAGACAGGCAGCGTCATTTGTAATAAACGCAGAGAGGATGGCAGACATCAAGCAAACTTTCCAGAGTATTGATAGAAATGGCTTGTTCTCACCAAATATTCTGAGCATAACTACTCTCAGAATACCTTCACGATCATAGTAATAAGACAGCATCATCATCCCAACCAGGAGAAACACTGTCTGCAAATTATCTTGATGCCCTTGAATTGCATACACATCATTTTGAGAAACAATTTGAAACAATACCATAAAGGCAGCTCCAACTAATGCAGCAGCAGGCCTTCCAAGAGGAAACCATTTCATATCAAGAACAACAAATGGCCACACTATGACAAAGAGTATAGACCCAGTGATTTGCACATAGAGATTGGTATCATAGGAGCAAGTAGCATTACTAGATGAAGACTCATTGCTGAAGTATTCCATCCTAGCTGATAAGGAGATAGACACGGAGAAAAGAGAAAATATTTCGGGACTTTTTAGAAGATTAGTTCAATCATAGATTAGGTAATCTATGGTTCAATTATTGGGCTCGCCAAGTCTCGCTGCCTACCCAATTGGCCAAATCTGTATGGCGAGGTCGCGAGATCTGACTAAGCGCTTAAGCTCGCCCCACTCATAATTATAATTACTAGAACAATGTAAAAAATTTAAAAGGGCTCAGCTCACGAGCGACTCTATTGTTGTGCTGTATGACCTTCCTTGCTGCTAGAGAAGATTTTGGATGACAGTTTAGTTTTATGCTGCTTCTAGCTGCCATTTTATTTCACTGTAACCACACCCGCTTGCAATGAAGATTAGGCTATTTTCATCAGTACTAATTAGTTCGTTATCTACCATCACAGCGAATTAAATACAGCATGTAGCACTCATTATATTGCTATGACTACTTTCACTAACATTATTAATGTTCAATTGGCTGCATTAGTGTCCAACCATGACCCCAGTTGCATCCATCTTGATACAATTCATCCACTGGTGTAAGAAGATACAGTGGATGTCCATTAGCATCAAAGTACAATGCAGGTGCTTGACGACGTTTAAAGTAACTGACAGATCCATCAGCCCATGTCATGTTAGCATCCCACATTAAATCAGGTAGCAGTGTCCATGATGATAATCCATCCTTACTGTATCCGTAAGCACCACGTGTTGAATGATTGGGACTTAACTGACAGTGAGTAAGCATATGATATCCTCTCTTTGATCTCCATATGAATGGGTCTTCATTTGCCATTATTTGTCCTACAGGATACACTAATGATGGTGGCCAATCTTCAGGAGCATACCATCCAAACACTGGCTCTTTAGACTGTATTGTATATGGACCAGACCAGTGAGGAGCTGTGGCTATAGCAATCTTTTCTTTTGTAGTACTATTAGAATTTGATCTATCACACTCTATCGATCTAAAAGCCATTACTGCTTTGCCATCAGGAGCAAAAGTAACAG